GCCAAAGAAACCTGTGGCTGTGCCAAAGACACCTGTGGCTGTAGCAAAGAAACCTGTGGCTGTGCCCAAGAAACCAGAGTCTGAGGCTGTGCCAAAAATACCAGAGCCTGTGCCGGTCCTTAAAAAACATAAAGTTCCTTTAGTTAAAGGTACATACATCTGTGACTGACCCTCTCCTTTTCTCTATTCTCTGAATATTTTTTCCCTTGTTTCACTCATGTATGCAGAGCTTAGGTATCTGAGTGAATAATCTTCACTTAAAATTTTATTCTTAATATTTTGAATGCCTTACTCTTTTTAGTCGTTGCACTTTTCACTATTGCATGTATCTATCTTAATGTTCACAAAAATGAAATTTTACTAATATCTTTAAAGCACCTGAACTGCCAGAGAGAACTGTGCCAGAAGAGAAAGTGCCTATTACAACACTTAAAAAGCCAGAGTTTAAAAAACCAGAGCCTCCTCCAATAAAAGGTATATATTGCCAGGAGGCATCTCCTGAGAAGAAATGTTTTCTGTTCTTCTCTCTTTTCTTTGTTCATAACTGAGTCTATGAAATATGTCAGTTGTATGTAAACTACCTTGGGAAAGACTGTTTGGAGCACAAACAGTCTTTCATGGTTATGGGCGCTGTTACTCACTTTGATTTTCTGTGTGCTGCTAGGTGTCTTTGTCTTTCTTATGTTTCATATGCACATTTATATACATGCAAATAAAAGGAACTAATATTTTTTAAAGTGCCTGAGGTGCCCAAGAAACCTGTCCCAGAGGAGAAAATACACGTTGTCGTTCCTAAAATACCTGAACCACTACGAAGTGAAGGTATATGTCACCATAGCTATTAATGTAAGGACAATCCTTTGTCCTGCTCTTCCAAACATAAGCTTTAAAATAGAAGTTGTCCTTTTTTTCCTATTGTAATGTTTGTAAATTATTAACTTCATATTTTAGATTATACCACTCTATGTTTCTTGTATCTACTATTATATTTTCATATTTGGAAGTAAAATATCACTTTCAAAATTAAATATTTTCAAGTGATATATGCTCCTACACAGGATATTCCTTACAAAGTTTCTCTTGTTAAGATAATCAATTCCCGCTAAATTTGAGTCTCTTAAAACCTAGTATTTATGTTGCTGTTATAATCTTAAATGAATTGAGAGCACTGAAGTTTTTATTCTTTCCAGTTACAATGACTCATCCACAGATTTAATGTTTAGTTTATACTGTACGCATAAAAAATACTATCCTTCACACAACCCTGATTCATTCTTACATAGAAAGAGAGTAGTTTTTCAAAAGCATGCATTAACTGCAAAGGTAACAGATACTGAGTGATTACTTATCCTAATGTGTATTTGTCTGTGTCTATTGGAGTAGTTTTCTTTTTAGTGATAGCTACATAATTGTTCATGTGAAACGATCTTACCATTGGAAACTTACACCAGTTGTCAATATTCTTTAAAGAATATGAAATCGTAAAGGAGATTGAGCCTGAAGAAGCAGAAGAAATTCCAGTTGCAGAAGTAGAAGAAGCTTTACCTGTTGAAGGTATACAAAGTACCTACCTAGAGGCTGCCAGACACCTTTCTTTCATTACTGCAGTTTTTTTCTTGCTCTGTCGTTCTTTGCACATGTACCTGTATGTTGTAGGTCTCTGCGTAATTCTTCCTCTGTTATTATGTTTTTGAAATGAGTTCTGATCTCTTAATTCTAAGTAGAACATACAGATTCTTTAAATGTTTTCACTTTGTTTCCTGTCAACAAGAGTCTTCCCATCATTTGGTTTCCCATCTTTGTTCTCATGTTATTAACATGCTTTTTTAAGTCAGCTTGGATATTTGTATTGTGTGCATGCTACAAAGCAATGTACAATGCCACAAAGCAAAGAGCCTAAGGCTCTTTCATACTCCCTTTTAATTTAATGAGATTTTTTTCACTGGCTTCATTGAAAATGGAAAATGACCGTCTTTACATTTGTACACTACTTTTCACATAACTACTGTGGTAGTAAATTTATATTAAATCTACCTAATGTTATTTAAAGCGCCGGAACCTGAAAAGAAGATCCCTGAAAAGCGAAAACCACGACCACCTACTCCACCAACAGAAGATATTAAATTGGCAAAAGAACTTCTTAAAGGTATAATAATCTAAAGCCACAATAAACAGTGGGAACTCAAATATAGAATCCTTTTAAATTATACTGATGAATCTTGAAAGGCATGCTTTTAAACATATCACTTTGGATCTTTTTTTTTTTTCTTTTCTCATTTACTATTGCTCTAATGGTGCGCCTTACTAATGCTCAATCCCTTGTGATTTTTTACCACTGTTATGCCAAGTCAGTTTACATGGGTTCTTTTCAATATTTACAGAAAAAATCAATTTATTAAAAAAAATCTTAACAAGTTAACATTCTTCTATCCTTAACATAATTCTTCTATCTTTAACATGTTCTTACAAATGAAAAGAATCCCCAGCAATAATTTGCTGGTGTTACTGTATGAACATGGGTTTCAGATCAACTGTGCTTCCTACAGATCATCTGATGACCTCTAAACAGTTAATCAGCCAGAATCTTAGCTTTGTAGCTCTTGTCTTTCTATTATGTCAATAGTATTAACCAGCTGTTTGGATTTTTTAGAAAATTCTTTTCTTTTTTGAATCTAATGATGTGTGTAGTAAAATTCAAATAATTTTCTTTAAAGCTCCTGAATCAAGGAGGAAAGTTGTGACTGCAAAACCTGGTGAGCCTCCGAAATTGGAACCCCCACCTGCTAAAGGTACCTAGCTAATATAATAATCTTTCTTAAATCAAGCCTTTCATGAGCCCAAAGTTGTAGTTCTCAATGTCTTCTTCTTCTTTAATTTGCTCAGAAATATCAAAAAGCTGTCTATGTTAGATTATGCTCAGTAGTGGACTCCTGTCTTGGATGTATATGTTCATGTTATATTTATGTCCACTTTAATCTCCCATCATGCAATTCATGAGATGCAAGAGACAGAATCACAGAAGAGTGAGAGAGTTTTTATGAGTTTTGTCATTTGTGTAGATACTCACTTTGATTCTCTGCTTAGGGAGAAATAAAAAATACTATACTGTTTAAATATATATAGCATTGTTCAAACATACTTAGTTTATTAGTCTGAAATGTAACTTATTTTTGTGAGAGGACACTTTCCAGAGATGGAAATTAATAATGTATTGAGCAAGCCACTTTACAATACTTCCTTATATTTTTGTACGTACTGGAACTTAAGACAAGCTAAGCAGCTAAGCAGTGAACATCTCTTCTTAATGCTGTTCCAAATTTAGAAATTAAACTAACTAGATCCTTATGAACATCATAGATAGTTCAGATGAATAGATATGTAACATAAGCCTGTAATGAAAGAGGAAAAGGTGACAAAAATTTTACTATGATAACTCTCTTTGAATACATAACCTTTATAGTTTTGTCAAACCATACTTCTCTTTTGTTGCTTTGCATGAAAATTTCTTCTTATGCATAAGCCTAGAAAACAACTGTACACAAATAATATAGAAAAAATATTAAAACTGTTGGCTTCAATCTCAGCAGTTTTATCTTTGCTTTTAATATTCAGTAGTGGACCAGCATTTGAATTGTGTGTTTGGAATGGTTGGCTGTTGGTTAGCTCTTACTACTGTTATGAACCCATAATAAAATCTGGAATAATATTCTTTTAAGTGCCTGGACTTGTAAAGAAACCTCGTAGAGTAATTCCCGAAGTTACTCCTCCACCAAAAGAAGAAGTTGTTTTGAAAAGAGGTATAGTAACTTGGCTCTGTTTTAAAAAACCCAGAATGTTGACGTTGTTCAGTATATTCCCCTAAATTACATTGTTTTATGTGTATGGTATGGAAAATTACACAAAGAAAGTACTACCTTATGTCTGTTTCTTGGGGAAAGCCTTTATAGTTGCAGGGATGAAGAGGGGATATCCTGAAAATCTGTCAGATCCAAAGGATCTGTGGTGAAAACAGAGCAAAACACTGAAAATCTGGTTCCCTATAACTCTCTTCTGTTTTCTTAATCCCTGAAAAGCCTATACTAGAGTTGACAGTTTTCAAGCTTCTGGACTGCTAAATGTTTTCCAGTGACACTGTAAATGTTGTTAAAGTTGCATATCTGGCATCTGTATTCTCTTTTATAGTTTTCTTAAAAGTACTGCCCAGATCACAGAACCCTGTAGTACTATTGGACATCAGTCCCCTTTCCTGTAAAGTCTGGAGCCTTCTGAATCACTTCATGCTTAATTATTGCTTAGAAAAAGGAAACATTAATTCCAATTCTCTTTGAAATACCACACCGGGATGACTCATGCCCATGTACCTTGCAGCCGACCTTCAAATTTCAGACAACATAATAAAATATAGATATTGAGTTTTTCAGATGACAGTCTCATTAGATATCCAATACTGATATCTGACAGGACAAAAATAAGTGAAATAAGTAAAATGAAAAACAGACATTATATAAATTTAAGCTCTCCAAATATAACACTTGAAGGTTCAGTCTTGTTCTCTCACTGCTGTCAATAGGAGTTTAATCCATAATCCTGCATTTTGTCCCTGGAAATCATCTGTAACTGCAGTTGTTAATGCATAATTATGTATAGTAAGTCATCATTTAAGTATGATAAGAAATATATTATAAGATATTATAAGAAATTTTATTCTGTCACAGTCAACTTTGACATCTTTCCTCTCAGATGGACTGCTCTTGATAAAAGCATTTTTTTGCTCTAGATGACTTTAAATTTTAAAACGCTTTTGGAATAGTATCTTGAATAGTTATACAAAATCTTCCATTTATATTGAACTATATATTTTACATTCCTGTTTATTCACGATTGTTGATATATTTTTAATCTTTTGTCTTGTTCACCATCTTATTGGTACCTGTGCTTTAAAAACTGAAATTCCTTTTCTTTTAAAGTTCTTAAAAAGAAATCAGAAGAGGAAGAGCCTAAACCAGAAAAAGAACCTAAACCAGAAGTTAAACCAGTTCCTACACCAGTAGAAAAAATTAAGAAACCTGAAGGTACTAGATTACATTCGAATCTACCTGGTAAAGTATAAATAAAAAAAAAAAAAAAAAAAATCCCACTTTTAAGTAGTATTCTCTGAAATTCAGGAATGAAAGTGAGATTTTAAAAGATGGCTTGCATTAACCTAATTGGGTAAATTAAACCTTTGCTGAAAGCACAGCCAAATTTGACATTTGGGTCTGAATTCTGCATTTTGAGATTGCTTCTCAATCTTCACTGTGTATAGAAGAGAACTTTACAAATATTTTATAATACTGATAAAAACATAACTACAGCAAAACAGTTAATTCAAGCATTCTTTTAGTTAAAGTTTTGCAAATATTTGTCCTTTTGTCCAATGAGTGCTTCTAATTTATTCAAATCTCACTCTTAAAAATACATATTCCTAAACCTTATGAACATCTGAAACTGTTTTTGTCTAAAAAGAATGAAAACTTTTAAATACATTGGAGATAATTGTATTTGGGAATTCAAGGTGTTTCAATATATCTTACAAAATAAAAATAATATTTTAAAGTCCCAGAAGTTCCTAAGAAGAAAACTGAGATACCTGTCATAAAAAAAGAGGAGAAACATGTGCCTGAACTGCCAAAAGGTACAGACGTATGGTGCTCTTTTTCCTTATTGCAGCAACTAAATCATATTCATTGCTGAATATCATGCTATATTAACCTAATGCATTAGTATCATCCAGTCTGTCCACGACTTTAGTGTCATGATTAACCACTTTGCATTCTTCAGGATTTCTTGTTGTCTTTAATTCTTCAGTGCTTGAAAAATTCATCTTTTTTCCATTTATCTTGCTTTACAAGAGTTCATCTCAAGTTAATTTCTTGCTTTCTTGCTAAATATAAACCAATAAATTCTGTCTTCGATTAACACTCTCTGTATTGTTGCTTCTAACTTTAACATTCAACGGGATTACAAAAAATGTAAATTAACCTATTTGTAATTGTTGTGTTTGAAATGCCAGAACCTAAGCAAGAAACTATCCCACTTCCTGGGCCTGAACCTAAACCTGCAGTAGGTAAGAATTCTTTAGTCATGTATACCGGTGCAGCCTTTCTTGTGAGTTTAGTATTTTCCATTCAGAGATTTCTGGCTAAAAGGACATTAAACAAATGCCTTTAGCATTACTAAGACTGAAACTTTCATACAATCTACAGAACATTTTAAAGAACATCATGCTTGAAATTATTTATTAAAACAAATATATAAGAACTGCTGTTTTTTTTTCCTACAGCTCTAAAATCTCCAAAACCAGCAGCAGAACCAGCACCAGCTGTTACTACTCCAGTGACAGTCCCAGTGGTTGGAAAGAAAGCAGGTATTTATGTTTATTCTGTGCTATTTATAGGGTTTTTCTCTCTGAGATATCTAAATACCTTCAGGATAAAGAGAACGAAGAGATGTACAATCATATAATTCATCCATTACAGGAAGATTTGAGGTCCTATTCAAGGATCTTGTTATTCTAGGTACTGTCACCTAATCTAAAATACAAGTGTCTCTGATATACCATAGAGATGAATCTGTGCTCTTGTTTCTGGATAGTGATATGTGTGCCTTTATTTATTGTCCTACTATGAAATTTGTGTATTCTGTTGATTCCTTGATGTATGTCTTGTGAACTGCATCTTGTATTTTCTGTATAGCAGTGTTTCTAAACAACTCTTATGTTGTTTGGTTTTCTGCTTTTAATTTTAAGTTATTGAGTCCTGAGCAAAAGTGGCAGTGGTGTTGAAGAACTAGAGTATTGCTACTTTCATTTGATATGCTTAGGACTCCGGGATCATACGCTGCTGAAAAAAGAACTATGAAGAGTCCAATTCCTCTGAAGCACTTTGAGCTTCAGAGGTCTATCGGTAGAGCTCATGCACATGCTGCTCGCCCTTCGTTCAAAGGGCCTCATGTTACAGTAGAGCTCAGATCTTGGGCACTTGAGAAGCCTAATCGTGAATGCCTCTTGGCCATTGATTTCGTGATGTAGCCAGACCTGCAGTGGCATAACTAACCCATTTTATATAGGTGGCCAGATAGGCCTTAGAAAGCTGTCGTTTTCTGCTACTTTTAACCTGGATTGGATTTAAATTGGCAAACTAGTGGCATAATGCTCTGTACCATAACAGTGGTTTATTTAGGTCTTCTGTACTGTTTGTGCGTGCCATTGTTATCTTTCTTTTGTTTTGTGATTGTGTTGTAAGTTTTCTGTTGTGTGGAGAAAAAGTTTTCTATGTTCATTTTATTTCAGGTATAGCTGGAAATTTTGTCTTAAAATATATTGTTCCTGATGCTTATTCTTATGGATTTTAACTCTTTAAATTACCTGTGAAACCTTTGTAGCTGCAGAAAAGCCTGATGCACCATCTCTACTAAAGCATAGAGGTAAAATGCCCCCAGTGGAAGAAGAAAAGCTCGAGTCAATTGTGTTAAAGAAGATTTTGGTTGAGAAACGCTTGCATGAAAAAGAAAGAGTAAGTCCTAAGGAGCCAGTTCTGGACATTCAGACAGTAGAGCCACTTGAGTTTAAAATCCCACTGGAAACAGCTGATGGAATACTGAAGCCAGTCAGAGATGAGCAGGAGAAAGTGGCTCTTAAATATTTTGTCCTGGCTCCTGAAGAAGAGCCAGAAATGACACCTATAGTTTCAAGAAAGACTACCCTTACAGGTGAGAAAATAGAAGTTGCAATAGATCACATTACTTATGCAAAGGATGAACAACCACTACCTGATGAGGAACTGAAATTGATTTCTATAGCACCTGAGCATGTGGAAAGAGATTCTGGGGAAGAAAAGGGGGATAAAGTTAAATTGGTTGTTCATAGGGAAGGTGCTGTAGAGAAAGTCTCTGACAAGTTTAGTATTCTTCATGAAGGAAAGATTCCTGTGCATGAAAAAGAAGAGGAAATTGAGTCAACTTATGTACCTAAACATATACCTAGAGACCCATATGAGCCCAGGGACCAGAAAAGACTTCTACGAAAAGAGAGAAAATCAAAAATGAGTTTGCAACCTGAAGAATTTCCCATTAAGGATAAAACTTCATTTGTAAAGGATATCACAGAGGCAGGAATAGCTGAAACTCTTCTGCTTAGAAGTGAAGAAGAGAGAGGAGGTTTTACTCTAGAGAAATCTGAAGTTCCTCTTGGAGAATCCATGAAGGAGCATGGCATACAAAATAAAACTCAATGGATGAAGAAATCTGGTACCACAGTAGCTGACATTGCTACAGCTAAGATTCTTAATAAAGAAGAAAAAAAAATAGAAATTACTCAAGATGATGAAAAAGATGAGAATCTGGACTTTACATTAGCAGAACTACATTCCTTAGATCTGTCTGAGGAGACTAAACCAGCACTGAGAAAAGATGTTGAAGATGAGGAGGTTCCCAGAGAAAAAGCTTACATAATCTTTAAACCATCTGTACTTAAGCCAGAAGTAGTGGAAAGGAAAGCAAGAGAAAAATATTCTGCAGAAGAAGGAGAAGTTCATTATGAGGAGAGTTCAGGACAATTGTTGACTGAGAAAGCACTCCTAAGTGATAAAAAAACAGGCAAAAAGATTATACCAGAGAAGGAAGAGAAAACTACCTTCAGCACCCAGTTAAAAAAAGACAAAGTTAGACAGTCAAATGCCCTTGAAAAGCTGCCTGTGGAAAAAGCAGAATTTGATACAGTGATTACAGGAGAAGGAATGGAAGGTGAAGTTTCCATAGGAGAACATGAAAACAGAGCCAAAGGTGAAATAGTTGACAGATCTGAGTCAGTAAAGGAAGTTCCTATTCAGCCACCAGGGAGTCAAGATAAAAAACAATTTCAAGAAGTTCATACCATTCAGGATGAATGTAAAGAAACTCCAGCTCTCAAAAGCAGCAAAGATAAAACTGAAGAAAAGAAATCTTCTTTGACTGTGGAAGAAGTGAAGCTTTCGGGAAAAGAAGTTCCAGTGACAGAAGGTACCTCAGATGAAAAAACATCAGCTAAATATGGCATTGGAAAAAGCACATCTGTTACCATGAAAAAAGAGAAGGGAAAGCTTTCAGACAAAATACCATCAAGCAAAGGAATCCCTGCAAATGGAGAAGTTAGTTACTCCTCAAGCATAGGTAAGATAATAACTCCCAAGAAAGCAGAAGGAGAAAAAGAATACCGGAAATCAGAACCTGCTCACATGATTGAGCAGGCCAGTAGACTTTCGACTGAGAACAGGAATTTGGATGCACTTGGAGAATCACGTGAAGTTCTGGATGTTCCTGCAAAGTCTCATGCAAAGCGAGGTGAGGAAGACTGCTGCCAAATTCTTCTACGAAGTGCTTGTACTATTTGCTTCAGGAGAATACCATTTGCCATTGTGATGTTTGTTTTTGTTCTTTAACAACGTTCACATTTCCATCTAGTCTGTCAGCTGGCTGTATTGGCATTCAGCCACTCTTGACATGTTTGTCTTACCTGTCTGTACATACATCCGTGTGCTCATTGTTCATTGTCTTAGTCTTACACTTTTATAAGACTGCATAAATCATGTTGTGTGCCATTATCTTCTCAGAAAAACTCATGTATTTTTTCTAGTATTCATTTTTCCATCCACTGCAATAAAATCTGTCCTGCATTTCATTCATATCATTCTCCCATTAGAAGTATCTTTTATATTTCCTTTCACAAAATGATGACGAGAAGCAGCATAGCATGGGAAATATTTTCAGAAGTCTGAGATAATTCATCACAAGTTGGGCAACTAACAGAACATCCCTCACTTGTGAGAGTATCACATTGTCCTGAAACATGTATTTAATTTATACAACTTATATTTCTGTTGTCTTCATTAATAAAAGTGTGTGCTTTTTTAAAAAAAAACCATATAATTTGTAATACGTACTTAACCTATTTTGATTGACAGGTGGGTATTGATCAAGGGCCTATTTGTGAGCAAAGTGTCAGGAAATGGCAGAATTATACAAAATAATGGGCAGGAAAATAAATTGAGGAACTAGGGGCTCCTAAGCTGCCTTTCAGTCCCCAATACTGAATATGTGTCTTTCCCATGCTTCAAAATATTGAACTTACCATTGAGATACAGACAGTGTAAGTTGTATAAATATATACATACGTTTATATCATCCTCCCTTTCTATGTGTATATAGAAGAGAAAATCTGATTTGTAAAATAAATGTTTTTCTTAATTTTAGTATGTATGTTTATTTAACTACATTCCTAATAATATTGCTGTTCTACTTCAGAGGCCAAGCCACCAAAAGAAGAAACTCCAAAGGGTATCAGTCCAGTCAAAGGTAGGATACTACAAGTCAATACCAACAAGCAAAAGCAATAAATCAGGATTAGTTTATTAATTTCTGAATCTGAATTACAGCCAAGAAGACACCTTCACCAGCAGATGCGGAAAGAAGGAAACTCAGGCCAGGCAGTGGTGGCGAAAAACCTCCTGAAGAGCCTCCATTCACTTACCAACTCAAGGCTGTACCCCTGAAGTTTGTCAAGGAGATGAAAGATATAGTGCTAACAGAAGCTGAATCTGTTGGGTCTTCTGCAATCTTTGAAGTCCTTATTTCACCATCCACTGCGATTACCAGCTGGATGAAAGATGGAAGTAACATCCGAGAGAGCCCAAAACACAAGTTTATTGCTGATGGCAAAGATAGGAAGCTGCATATTATTGATGTCCAGCTGTCAGATGCTGGTGAATATACTTGTGTATTACGACTGGGGAACAAAGAGAAGACCTCTACAGCCAAACTCATTGTTGAAGGTATTCCCTGTTTCAAGTTTGTCAATAATTTAAAGGCTAGCTACTTCTCAAGCTAGAAGTAATATATGCTTACTTTTTTTATACCAAAGTAAGTATGGTACTTTGCGAGTTTACAGTGGTTGGTAGATGCATCCTTTTGTTTCCGTGAATCACTACACATATTGATTTAAGATGTAAGGCATTTCTGCATCACACCTTCTGTATATAAATGAGACAAATCAAAATGTTGTGTTTCCCACAGAACTCCCAGTGCGGTTTGTGAAAACTCTTGAAGAAGAAGTCACTGTGGTTAAAGGCCAGCCACTGTACTTGACGTGTGAGCTTAACAAAGAAAGAAGTGTGGTCTGGAGGAAGGATGGGAAGATCATCAAAGACAAGCCTGGGAAATTTGCTCTGGGCATTATTGGTTTGTCACATTCCCTCACGATCATTGATTCAGATGATGCTGATGCTGGCACTTACACTGTTACCGTTGAAGACACTGAGCTGTCATGCTCATCTTGTGTTAAGGTAGTAGGTAAGCAATCAAAATCGTGTTCTCCTTTCTCTGTAGGATATTTGGGCTGTTATAAAATTAGGAAAGCTTTTTATTATAATATTAAAATATAAATGGACAGATAAGATTTTTACAGCTATTAAAAGCTTGTTGTAATACAAAATCTGTTAGTTCTCTTTTTTGTATTTCTGACCCATCTATTTGTACTAAAAGTCTGCTAAGCTGTATTTTTATGTAACTTTTTGTCATGCAGAAGTGATAAGAGACTGGTTAGTAAAACCCATAAGAGACCAGCACGTGAAACCAAAAGGAACAGCTATTTTCACCTGTGATATTGTCAAGGATACACCAAACTTCAAATGGTTTAAAGGAGATGAGGAATCAACTGACAAGACAGAAATCTTGAAAGAAGGAAATAAAATTTTCCTGAAAATCAAGAATGCTGGCCCTGCTGATGTCGGGGAATATTCAGTGGAAGTTGAAGGTCGCAGATACCCAGCTAAACTGACCCTTGGCGGTAAGGAAGCTTTTATTTGTAATATATTTAATCAGCTGATAGGCCAATGTTCAAAAACCTCTAAACAAACAAACAAACAAGGTAAACTGAATTATTATAGAGCTCTATCAAAACTTGACCTAATTATATATGTGTTCATTTGTGCATACTAGAACGTGAAGTTGCACTTCTGAAGCCATTAGAGGATGTTACAGTTTACGAGAAAGAAACAGCAAACTTTGATACAGAAATATCTGAGGATGATATTCCTGGTGAATGGAAGCTGAAAGGAGAAATCCTGAGACCCTCACCTGTAAGCATCCTTGAATTTTACAACACAATTTATTTACATTTAAACGCTGTGAACAGGTTCCCTTGAGTCTTTATGGTAAGATCTTTGCAGGTGTGTCATTGCTACTGAGTCCAGAACATAGAAAAGCTAAGCATTATCGTGATTAAAAAACACTGGTTCTCTAAGTAAGAATTGTATGCTATAAAAGCTATGTTTTGAAGGCCTTCATTTTCTCAAAGGATTACAGCACATTATTCAGACAATAATAAAAATATCCTGCATACATTGCTAGGAATGATGCTGACATTTAAAAGAAGTGTGGAACACTGAAGAAATGTACTCCTTTTTTTTATTATTGAGTAAAACTGTTAACTTACCTTGAAAAACAATTCCAATCTTTCTAGCTGACTCTTTACTGTGTATAAAATATTTATAGAATTGCTTTACTAAAAATACCTAGTAGTAAGGCGTTGGCATTGTATTTACCAAAATCTGTCATCTCTCCAGACATGTGAAATCAAAGCTGAAGGAGGAAAACGCTTCCTAACCTTGCACAAAGTCAAGTTAGAGCAAGCCGGTGAAGTTCTTTACCAGGCACTTAATGCAGTTACTACAGCTATCCTGACAGTGAAAGGTATGATGCAGCATGGAGTATGAAATCAACTTAAACAGAGTTCACATGGAGCACGTTACAAATGATGTGTTCTGTTTTGCTTCCAGAAATTGAGCTGGACTTTGCTGTGCCCCTAAAAGATGTTACTGTCCCTGAGAGGCGCCAAGCAAGGTTTGAATGTGTCCTTACCAGAGAAGCCAATGTTATATGGTCTAAGGGTACTGATATACTCAAGATTGGAGAAAAATTTGACATCATTGCAGATGGAAAGAAGCATATTCTTATAATCAATGATTCTCAGTTTGATGATGAAGGAGAATACACTGCTGAAGTTGATGGCAAGAAGAGCACAGCAAGACTGTTTGTGGAAGGCAAGTATCTTCTTATGAACAAAACAATAAATAATGGATAAAGAATGTATCTTTTAGAACCACATTAGCCTTTTTCTGATGGTATTTATGTGTCTACATTACAGGTGTGAGACTGAAGTTCATCTCACCTCTACAAGATCAAACAGTGAAAGAAGGGGAAACAGCTCACTTTCAGTTTGAGCTTTCTCATGAAGACATGCCAGTGAAATGGTACAAAAATGACAAGAGACTCCACACAAGCAGAACAGTTTTTATTACTTCAGAAGGCAAAGTTCATAAACTAGAAATAAGAGAAGTAACACTTGATGACATCTCTGAAATAAAGGCCGTAGTCAAGGACTTGAACACACAAGCAAACCTCAAAGTCTTAGGTGATTACATAAATAATTTAAAATATGTTATATAATATGTATAAACAATTTGTATAAGTAGAAAGTGACAAAATATTGATGTTTTAGTAAATTTTCATTATTAATTTATCATTTCATATCCACTATGCCTTTTGTAGAGGCCGATCCATATTTCACTGTGAAATTACAAGACTACAGTGCTGTGGAGAAAGATGATATTACTCTGGAGTGTGAACTTAGCAAAGATGTGCCAGTAAAATGGTACAAAGATGGTGAAGAACTAGTAGCTTCCAACAGAATTTCCATAAAAACAGATGGCTTGCGCCGTATCCTGAAGATCAAGAAGGCTTCAGAGAGTGATAAGGGTGTTTATGAGTGTGACTGTGGAACCGACAAGACAAGTGCTAATGTCAGCGTTGAGCGTAAGTTATCATGCCTTGGCTAAGGGAAAGTACTGAAACCTTTGTAAAATGTGTAGACAGACAGACACTCGCTAGAGTACAACACCAAAAATTGTACCTTTAGAAAACATGTTGTTATGATAAATAGCTGAAATACCTAGATTTACAATTATTAAGAGTATTTACAAGAGACAATATATCTTAAGATATATAAATGGTTGTTGTAAAGACAGTGGTGATCAATTATTCTCTATGTCCATTTACAGTCAGGAAAAAAAGCAGTTAGTTTAATTCACTGTAACAGATATCTGGGTTAATTATGAGGAAAAATACTTTTACTAATAATAACTAAACTTTCAGACATATTATAGAAGGGGGTTGTAGACTGCACAAACTTGCAACTTTTTAACAAGAGGTTAGATAAACATTTATCAGTGATAGCATTTGAATGCCCTAAAGAAGGGATAGGGAGAGAGTCGAGATCCTTTCCAGTATTACATTTCTATGGTATAGAACGAGTGAGTAAACAGATGTGAACTTTTGGGTTTTTTGATTTTAGCTCGCTTAATTAAAGTGGAGCGCCCACTGTATGGAGTGGAAGTATTTGTTGGTGAAACAGCACGTTTTGAAATTGAAATTTCTGAGCCTGATGTCCATCCTATATGGAAGCTAAATGGAGAAACCTTAACACCTTCACCTGTAAGGCTTCTTCTTTATTTTCAGACCATAATTTACACTAGAAAAAGCATATTTAATAATAATGTCTTCTGAGTGGTTTCTTAGAATATTCATATTTGGGGGGGGGGTGTTTCTTTATTACCAGGACTGTGAAATCATTGAAGATGGGAAGAAGCATACTCTTGTCCTTCATAACTGCAAACTTGATATGACTGGAGAAGTGTCTTTCCAAGCTGCTAATGCTAAAAGTGCTGCTAATCTGAAAGTGAAAGGTACAGTCTGCACCCTGCCAACATTTCCACATGTATCCCGGGGCATTAGAACAAATCTAGCAGCAGAAAGGTCTATATGAACCTATCACTGAACTGAAAGTGTTCTTCTTTGATTTCAGAATTGCCTCTCATCTTTATCACTCCACTAAGCGATGTGAAGGTCTTTGAGAAGGATGAAGCCAAGTTTGAATGTGAAGTGTCCAGAGAACCCAAGACTTTCCGCTGGTTGAAAGGAACACAAGAGATCGTTCCTGATGAAAGATTTGAAATTATTTCAGATGGAACAAAGCATGCTCTAATTATTAAATCTGTTGCGTTTGAGGATGAAGCTAAATACATGTTTGAAGCTGAGGATAAGAACACAAGTGCCAAGCTAATTATTGAAGGTCTGTCTGACTTTGCCTTTCTAGAAAAGATTTGCACGATAGTCCTTGAATAGTTTTTATTGATAACATTATTATTAATGAAATGTTATATTGTTATAGGTATCCGCCTGAAATTCATTACTCCTCTCAAGGATGTCACAAAAAAGGAGCGAGAAACTGCAGTGTTCACTGTGGAACTCTCCCATGAAAATATCCCTGTTGTCTGGTTCAAGAATGACCAGCGATTACATACCAGCAAAGTGGTTTCAATGACAGATGATGGCAAATACCATACACTCACAATCAAAGATCTTACTATTGATGATACTTCTCAGATTAGAGTGGAAGCTATGGACAAATCCTCAGAAGCTAAACTCACTGTTCTTGGTAAGAATACCCAAAAGAATTTTCATTATGTGTATTATCAGAAGAGTCTTATTAATGAAAAATGGTGATCAGGAAGTCTTGGTGTTGGTTTTGGTTTGCTTTGGTGGGGCTTTTTTGGTTTGGCCTAAATCTACATTGTGATTTTTGACAATTTTACAATTTGTTTGTCTTTTTTGGGTCTCCATTTCCCCATTCACAAAGGATAATTAAAATAACTTTAAAATTTCATGTAACTGTTGCAAAATGAAATGTTAGATACTTAAATGGTGTTCTGAAACTCCTAGAGCACCAAAGCCATGTTGTCAGTAGTATTAGTAATATGCTAAATTATTTCTTAGATATTTGTTGTTTTCTCTTTTTGCAACAGAACCAGAACCATGTAATATTTATAAGAACTATATTTAATCCTTCTTGCAGGACATAAACAAGAAATGTATTTTATGGTAAGAACTAATTGTCCTTTTTGAAAGACTAAAACTTCAGACTGAAACATATCTTAACTTTTGCTTGCAGAGGGAGACCCTTACTTCACTGGGAAGCTGCAGGATTACACTGCTGTAGAGAAAGATGAAGTAATCTTACAATGTGAAATCAGCAAAGCAGATGCCCCAGTGAAATGGATGAAGGATGGCAAACCAATAACTCCATCAAAGAATGTTGTTATTAAGGCTGATGGTAAAAAGAGAATCCTTATCCTCAAGAAAGCTTTGAAGAAAGACATTGGACAGTACACTTGTGACTGTGGTACTGATCAAACCTCTGCTAAACTCAATATTGAAGGTATGGTTATTTTACTGGGCTGCTCTGTAGTAGAGATCTTTTGGGGTCTGTTAGGGATTAAGGGAATCAATCACTTTTTTTTTTTTTCCCTCTAGACCGGGATATTGAGATTATACGTCCACTATACAGTGTGGAGGTGATTGAGACAGAGACTGCCCGTTTTGATATTGAAATTTCTGAGGAAGGTGTCCATGGCAATTGGAAGCTAAAAGGAGAACCCCTGACTGAATCAGCTGTAAGCAAATATTTCAGGATGTTTCTTACGTGTGTCGCAACAATTTGCAGGGAGGTAGGGTGTGAGGGAGAAGAAGGTGGCTGCAGAAACTAAGTGAAATATCTTTCTGCTTTCAATAAGGGTCACTATAATAAAAATACTGGGTTTTTTTCATTAATAACTTTTAAAATGTAGCATAAACTTAATCCAAAATAGCTCCCTCAGTAAGTTTGCAGACGACAC